TTTTTTGACAAGTTCCTCTCAAGAGTCTGGGGTCATGTAAAATGGGAATATAAATTGCACTAACCTGCTGGAGATATGTTATCATTAAATGAGATAATGCACGTAAGAGAATAATCACTATGCCCGGTATAAAGTGAACACGGAAGAGTCTTTAGTTTCTGTCTGATTGTCTATAAGCAAAAACCCACGAAAAAAAGATTAAGTCAACTTTGATAAATTTCAATTGAACCTTTAAAAGCACGTTTAATTAATTAATTAATTATACTTTTTTACTTTTTATTTATTTATTTAAAAAAAAATTTTTTTTTAGTTGTAGATGGACACAATACCTTTATTTTATTTATTTATTTTTGTGTGGTGCTGAGGGTCGAACCCAGAGCAAACGCTCTGCCACGGAGCCACAATCCCAACCCCTTATGGTGCTTGGGATTAAACCCAGGATATCTCCTGCTAGGCAAGCATTCTGCTCCTGAGCTACATCCCTAACCCTTTTTACTTTGAGATAGCAATTCACCCTAAATTGTTAAAACTGGTCTTGATCTTGCAATCTTCCTGCCTCAGCCTCCGAAGTAGCTGGGATTACAGGTGGGTGCCACTAGGTGCCTGGAATGAACAGCAGTCTTATGTGTGGTCCTGGGTTCAACCCAGGGCCTCTTGCATGTTAGATAAGTACTATACCTCTGAGCTGTGTTCCCAGCCCCTTGAAAAGCATTGTTTTTTTTTTCTTTTTCTATTTTTTAATGAGTGCATTATAATTGTTTGTAATAATGAAATTTGTTTATGTAAAAAAAAATTTTAACATAAAACAAATATGAGCCCTTGTGAAAGAAAATTCCTAGAATAAGCCAATAGAAAAGTGTAGGCCTTTAATGAAGAAATCACAAAGGTTGAAAGATAATAAGGAATACTAGAAGGTATGGAAAGAGGTAAAAACATAAACTTTACCAAAATCCTAATGGTTCAGAATGGGTAAGAGGGAATGTAACAATTTTCTAACATACTAATGAAAGGATATCAGTGAGAAAAGCTAAGAAATTAATGTTTTAAATGAGAAGATACTTATATTTTTACAAAATCTTTTTAAAAAATTTTTTTAGGTGTAGTCGGGCACAATACCTTTATTTTATTTATTTATTTTTATGTGGTGCCGAGGTTCGAACCCAGCACTTCACACGTGCTAGGCAAGCACTCTACTGCTGAGCCACAACCCCAGCCCCCACAATCTTAAATCATATTGAAAACTACAACCAATGTTGTCACAAGAATGAATACATTAAGCATCAGGGGAATAACTGAAAATCTATAAATATTCAGTATATCTAGAAATCCACTGTGATAATTATGGAATTTCATTTTTGTTGGGAAAGGGATAAATGGATAAATTCTTTATTTAATAAATTAGGTAAAATTGCAGAAATTAATGGAAGGTATAAAAGTAAGGATTTATTTAAATTGTCAGCAAAATGTAAGAATCGCAAACAAACAAAAATCACCAGAAAAATTAGAAGAAAATATAGGTGAATTATTCAGAGGGGAAGGTCTAGATACTAAGACATAGGAAGAAAACAAGAGTAA